ATGTGTTTTTTGAACATTAAAGCATGTCAACATATTCTGTTACACCAAATACACAAAATAATGATCTTTAAAATAGTATCATATGACCCCTTTAAAAATGCTGATATTTATACGGCTTGTAGATTTCACTTGTCACTCTATCTCCCAATAATATGTTTTAGTAAGATAATATTTAAATGCTTAATTTTATAATTAAGTCTGTTTGTTTTATTGTGGAAGCAAAATTGCAATACAATGATGATTTAGGGATGAACAAATAAACTTTCCTCAAATGCCTGATGATCATATTTGATTACATTTTTTAACATGATTTTTTATTTAAAAACACAATTATGGATAATCAAGTAAACCTAAGTTGCTTCAGTCTAGTAAGTGTTTATCTTGAAATATTACCAACAATATAAAGCTATTCTTGCTTTTAAATATCATTAAAGATTTCACAGCAAAAAGACATGTAAATCATGACCTGAAGGTGGACATTTTTACAGTTTATAATAAAAGGCATTTTACTTGCTAAAAAAGTATAAACTATCACTCAGTTGACTGAAGGATGGTAATGCATTGTGTACAACAGTTTTCATCAAAGTTTTGATCATGTTGACTATTTAGAAGGCTTATCAAATATAATGCAGTAGACTTTATAGGGTTAAGCGTCAGACAGTTAAGCATTCATCCATCAGAACAGACTGAAATGAGTCTGAAGGCAGGATTGGTTCATTAGTGTGTTTTTCTGCAGTCTTGAAGCTTTATACAGATAGTTCACTCAAAAGCTAATAAAAATTCTGTCATCGTTTACTCATCCTTATGTTTCAATTCAAATAAATACATATTTCTAAGTGAACACAAATATTGTGTGCTGCTAATAATTTGTCCTAATATGTCTGTCACAGATCATTTACACTTAATGAAAGAATATTTGAATGTCCATTGGTGTGGTCTGCACTTTTAAATTGTGTGTTTTGTTTTGTCTTCCTTATGGTTTTTCGCTTGATTTCTGTAAGTTTTTTTTTATCTCTTTATTTTAATTTTCTTGAAACAACACACACAGTGTCACAAAATAGCTACTATACGGGAAACATACGACATCAAGCACCCTTAGCTGTAACACTACAATACATGACTTTTGAGCCGAGAACATTAAAGCTTTATATTAGAACCCCCCCCCCAAAAAAAAACATTTACAAATTGTTAGGGATGCACCGATACCACTTTTTCCAGTACTCGCCCGATACCGATACTTTAATTTTTTTGTCCTTGCCGATACCGAGTACTGATACCGATATTTTTATTGCATTTTTACATTTTTTAAATATTGGTTACAGAAACCAAAAGGGTATGTATAATGTTAGTTGGTTAACTTCATTTATCAAATAGATACAGTCAAACCAAAATAGAGTGTTAATATACAATCTTTTATCCTGATGTGATGAAAAAGAGATGTAATCCAGTATATTCAGTCTGCCTGTAAGAACAGTCTTATTGGTTTCCAGATCTTGATGAAAATTGATAATTTATCTTTTAATATAAATCTCAGTTCTTCCAAATGTAACATATTTCCCAGTTGTAAGGTTGTTTTTAAAAACATGGTTCACGTTCTGGCAAAGAAACTAAGTAAATAATTAAATAAATTAACACGATAATATTGTGCATCGGCGATCTCACAGACTGATGATAGGATGACAATTGAGCTTGTCGCCCAACACTAGTGTACATACAATTTAAAGTCTTTGTCCTTATTTTTTAATGAGTTCCCCATCCAGTGACTTACAGCTTGGCTCCGCCTCTTTATTCAGTTTTCCAGCATGGCCCGTGAACACTGAGTGAGACCACCACCATGATCGGAGGACTCTTCATCTACAACCACAAGGGCGAGGTGCTGATCTCCCGTGTCTACCGTGATGACATCGGGTAAGTCAGGGAAATGTGAGGTTGTGGAGAAGTTGGGCTTTGATTGCTTCAACAGGAGGTAGATCTAGGTTATAACATCAACATGTCCTTCATGTTCATGCATATATATTTTTCCTGATGTGCTTCCTTTTCCACATCTCTTTTCCTTCTTTATTCACCCTGTCAGATCTGTTTGTTTCATTTGATTCTGTAGGAATAAAAGCAGTCAAATGTTGTGACCCACCTGTTTTTTATGTGTGACCCAGTTCCATCTTCATCTTCAGCCGGGATGTAAAGAGAAACGGGAGTGTGGAATACAATGAAGATCAATTTTAGATCACTGTTAGAATTTTAGAATGAATGTTAGGCCTCTGATTGCGTGGAAGTTCCTTTCTGGAAGATCCAGGCATCCTTTAAAACCACAGAGATGGTCTGTTCAGAGAAGGGTTGCTATGGATACAGTGGGTCTGTACATCGCTGCCAACTCATACTGTCGCAGTGTGTGTGTGTTCACGCATGTATGCAGGGCTATATGAGAAAGAGAGATCATTAGATGAAGTCGCAGTGCGTGAGCATGTCGATTGTGCCTGGAGGAAAGGGAACTCTGGGAAGAAGAAGAGAGGGGTTGAAACGGTGTATGTAGCGTAAAAACAGACTCACGCACGCATGCAGGGCTGTATCATTAGATGAAGTCGCAGTGTGTGTGCCTGGAGGAAAGGGAACTCTGGGAAGAAGACGAGAGGGGCTGAAACAGTGTATGTAGCGTAAAAACAGACAGCTGAAATGAAGTGATGATGATTATTTTTATATATATTTTTATATATAAACCCAGTGAGTGATAAAGGAAACATAAGCTTGGTTCCAAAACCTACTGAGGTGCCTACCTAGACAGCATTTAAAGTCTGCTGTCTACAGTTCATTTGTGTATATGTTTAACATTTTTTGACCTTGTAATATTAAATCATAATGACATAGTTGAATCTTCTGGGGAAAAAACGCCTCTCTGGTGATGTATAGGTCTTTTCCAATCATTTAGTAACTTAAACTCTGCCCATGCAAGCTCACATCTCAACATCCAATCAACAACCAATGCACAGAACCAAGTCTTGCTCAACATTGTTTCTTTTTCTGATAATCTGTTACACTGACTGTATGGATGTACATCACAGAATGGAAGAAAAGATTTGCCGCTACTTCTGATTTATTGCCACTTTAAGGAATTGTAAGTGTACTCAAGATCTCTTCCAGGTTAATCCGAGTTTCTGTCCTAACCAGCCTCAAAAAGTTGCATTTTGTCAGTTGCTTAAAGGATGTCGCTTACAGTACCCTATGCATTTTGTGCTGTGCAGTATGAGAGAGAAAATGCTTTTCTGATTTTTTTTTGTTTCACGCTGCATTTTGCTTTCAATCTAAAATTTGCTACTGGAATCTTGTTGCACCTGGATAGGACACTGTTTAGGGCAGCATCTCAATGGTAGTTGCTTGGCTGGCATATGAACCCTCAGAAATGAAATTAAAATCAGACTTTTAGAGTCCGACATTAGACTTTTTCTTATACCCAAGTTTTTGGTGTGATAACTATTTTTTTGCTGAAGAAGGTTTTTTAGTGCTTATCATGTGGTTAGCCTGGCAACATGCTAATGCTAAACAATTACAAACAAATGTAAAAATCTCTTGTGCACTTCACTTTATAATTAATATTACACATTTAAATAGAGCAGTTCTATCAGTCACGTACAAGGTGTCAGTTTGATGGAGGTGTTGAGTAGGTATAGTGTTGAGTTTTTGATACCAGAACTATCGAGCGATTTTAGGTGAACAGTTTTTGGGTTACCAGCCCAGTTGTTTGATAAGGCTGCAACTAACTCTTGTTTTTTTTTCTGGCAAATAATGTATTCTTTTTCTGTTTAGTTGGTTAATCTAACAATTATGTTTCGGATAAATCGACACCAATCTCACACCATCATGATGGTCTTTCTGCAGGAGGAATGCGGTGGATGCGTTCCGCGTGAACGTGATCCACGCTCGCCAGCAGGTACGCTCACCCGTCAACAACATCGCCCGCACCAGCTTCTTCCACGTCAAGCGCTCCAACATCTGGCTGGCTGCCGTTACCAAGCAGAATGTCAACGCAGCCATGGTGTTTGAGTTCCTCTATAAGATGTGTGACGTCATGACTGCCTATTTCGGCAAGATCAGCGAGGAGAACATCAAGAACAACTTTGTGTTGATCTACGAGCTTCTCGATGGTATGAGGACTTCTCATTCCTGAATTATCCTTAAATTATTAATAAAGTAAAAAGATATCCGCCTGACTGTTGCTTGACGTAACATTGATTATACTGCAGTTGAGTTTTCTTTTCCCTCCAGTTCCAGCCAGTCCCACAACTGTTGTGCTGTTGTTTTTTTAGGTTTTGATTTTTATGAAATGGCGATGAGAAAATCAAAACCTAAAGAAAATACTGCACAGACAGACAGACATCTCCTCTGCTCTCTGAGATGGATGCTGTTAATATACAAGTGAAGTCACATTTATTTGTATAGCACTTTATACAATACAGACTGTTTCAAAGCAGCTTTCACAGTAATAAGCAGGAAAATAACACTGTCAGTGTTGCACAGTTAATCAGCTATGAAACAAATTTACTTTCAGCTATAAAGCAGCTCTACAGTCATGGCCAAAAGTTTTGGCAGTGACAAAAATTTTGTGTTTTGCAAAGTTTGCTGCTTAAGCTGTTGTGGTGTTCATTCACATTGGTTCTAGATTATTGTGTAGAGTGATCAGATGCATTTTAAATAATTGCTAAAACCCTCATTGGCCAACTTTTCACAAAAAAACAAATTTCACTGTTTTTTGATCCTGACACAAAATGACCAGCTAACATTAATTGACTAATCATATCAGCAGCACATGAGAAAGTGTGAATGAGTACTAGTCAGGTCAAATCACTATCATATTAATTCGATTGTAAGAGCAGACTGATTGCTATAAAAGGAGGGAAGAAGCGCTTCCAATCATTGTGTTCTTGTTAGCAATGGTTACCTCCAAAGAAACACGTGCAGCCATCATC